ACAATACAATAAATATTACTAATACCGTAGTTACCGTATTACATTAAAAATATAAACATAATAAATAATTTTATATTTATGTAACACACTCGTAATTTGATCTCATAAATATTACCGCATATATGCTTAGTATTAGAATAATACAAAGTAGTTCAGAAACACTGTATTTAATATTTCTATTATATTCTAAATGCACGAATTGTAGGTGGTAAGGAGCGTGCATGTCGACCTTTCTGACATGTGACAGTCACATTATCTGAAGCATAGATCTACATGTAGATATTATTGGCCTCAATATATTTGATAGAAATAACAAAATGTTTCAATATTTATATTGGAATAGCTGCTATATCTGTACCGTTAAGAAAAATGTAATTGAAATTTCAGGTTCATATTTTTCTGAATTATCGATAATGCTTTTACAAATGTCAGTGCATTATAAATTATTCAAATTAAATAATCCGTACTAACATTATATACTATTTCTTATCTGTAATAAAGTATATCTATCTGTTTGTTATCTTGTCTCATGAGGACGAACACAGGCTATCTTTTAAATCAAAAAAGCAAACGATATTCCCGATAAACTTTACTATTATTATATCTGTACCTATTTTATTTAGGCATACTATCATAATACAAAACCACAAAATAAATACTGTACTAAAACTTAATGTAAAACATCGTAAGTGGACCGTCAGTAATTACTCTTATATAATAATAAAATAAACCTGGGGAGCACTCTCTTTATTAATCTATAAAATAATTATCTTAACGTGCCTACTTACCTTCCTACTTAAACTCCTGTAGGGACTTCAAAGCTATCAAATGTCATAATTGTCCCCGTGGATTACAAGGAAAAGCAGGGAGGGAAACATCCTACAGGGGCCAGAGGTCAACAACTCATTTGTTAAATTTTAATGTAAACGCAGCACCGTAATTACTTTCCGACTATTAATACGACTATAATAATTTTAGTGTAATACAGTTTCACTATAATTATATATTCGTATATGCTAATATCGCTAAGAACCTATTTTGTTTAATCTAATACATAAATTAAGGTGACATTGGTAAATTAGTGACATTTAAGTTAATCAATTATAGTTTATAATTCATTAATTTACTTTATATTTTATCAAAGTAACGAATAGACACAACACGAGACAAGAAGTTAGATTTTGGGGAAGTCCGTCATATTATTTATTGGATTTGTATTATTTTGTTTAATTCCGGTATCATTAGCATGTCACTGTCACGCTCACACATGAATAAACTGCGTATCCAAACCATATACGAACTCTTAGAACCTTTTACGAACCTTTAGTGCCTTTTACCATTTCCCATTCCAGTCACTTATAAAAGTAAAGAGTTAAGTTTATATATGTGATGAGTTATAGTAAAAAATGAAACAAAACTTAAAAGGTACCTTGTTACTCTCTGCTGATCTCGTAAGTAACTTAGGTTGTATAAATAAGACCATCGCTCTACTAGTTTAAACGTTCAATTAATCTTAATTAAGCTAGCAAGAAGACTGTTGGTCTATGCTACTTTATTGAAAAGTAAGCGAAAGAAGGAAATACCTGCAATTTCTCACGTTTAAAGCAAAGCTACTAAGGCTAACTACTAAAGTAAACTTAGATTTTCATAGAACAGCTGACGTTAAACAAGGTTTGGAAAGTTTGACGTAGCGGTGTACCCTTCGTGAACAGCTATGCTTGTTGGCTAATAAGTTGTTAGAAAACTGCAAGTAGTACATGTAGTACAATCTATATAACAACATAACGTACCCGCCCGACTTCGAACATAATAATTAATAGGTGTGAATACATTTTTTTTAATAATATAAACCAGTAACAAATCTTTGTTACTCATTGATGAAGCTTTTTTTATAGCTGGATCTGACCACGTCTTATTTATTATTAGGAAACAAAGTATCTTAAGGATCTTTTAATACTTAACTCTTTGTAACCTTTGATTTCAATCATTACTTCAAACAAATTTGCAACAATTACTAAACACTAATCTCTAAATTGGATCTAGTAAGTCTAAAGATTTTATAACAACGTCACTTTATCATCATTAGAATAAATTACGCCAAACGCCATTAGCGAGACTGTCTCGGAACAAAAACAAAGTTGACCTTTCTACAGCATAAAGCAAGAACTGAAGAAGCATCGCTAATTAAATATAACGTCAGCATTTAATTTGACGAAAGCATAACAGGGACCACTCATTCGTGAACGACCTATTTTTTCCCCACTATATCTGGAACAAAGGCCCGATGCCGCTTCTCGGTATAATAATTTTAAGAAAACTGCCTGAGAGTTTCTTTTTTCATAAAATAACGTAGCGAGGAGAGGAGGGTATGCCGACCGCCGAAGGGAAATGCGGGCCCATAAAGTTGCAAATGAAGTAATATCGTACTCGGCTTGACTCACCGAGTCAAAACTTAGTGGAAACAGCTCATACAGTCGCCACAATAAGTTGCCTACAATTTTCAGTCACTATTTACACAGCGTCATTTAATTACGCTGTGTAAATTGCAGGAGACTTCTCGCACCTCGCTTTAAACTATACTGTTGGCTTGCTCTTTAATTAATATTGACCATTCCCTCCAAAATATCGTGTCTGCGAGCCAGCTGGAGTCAGTCTTTGAATTTTAGTTAGTAAACTAAATTTGGAATTAAATCAACAGGATACCGCGTTGTTTATATACTCATACAAATTTAACTCAGTCTTCATTAAAGCGGCATAAAAATTATTTCAAGTCAACGAGATATGAAAAAATACACTTACAATATTATATAAAGTCTTTATTAAATGAATATAATATATTAAGACTTTATTTAATTTTAGACCTCTAAATGGAGTATGAGTGCTCCCATTTAAATAAAACACAATAACAAAATATAATGTTTTAATACTTTGTTTCTTATTTCGAGTTTTCTTTCTCTGTATAGTGCTGTACTCTAGTGTACTTCTGTATTTTATATATCGTTATTTGATACTGGATCACAATTAAACACCCGTATTAGCCATACAAATAAACCTATCCTAAATTAACACATACGATACTTATTACCCGAATTCGGGCGAACAAATCTGCCGAGTACCTACTACTAGTACTAACATATTTACTTGGTGAAGAATTATTAATAAATTAAAATTAAATCTACTGCTAACTACGAAGCATTCAATTAAACAAATTCCTGTTAATAGCAAGTCAAGGATCACATTGAGTGGGGCTACTCAAATCTTACATAATTAGGGAAGAGCGGCGGCGATGGGGAATAAGGAAATTGCTCAAATGCCATAAATAATTTATAGGGATTCGAAGCTGCACAAGTTTTGAGAGCTCTTTGGTATTTCTACAACGAGACTTTCCCCGAGCAGTCTCTGCAAAAGCAATTATGTTGTCAGATACTTTATTTGGGATAATTCTGCGTAACAAAAGTTACAAACCTTTATATAAGTAATAATGTTTTATGATAAATGCTCTGTTTATTAAGTAAATGGCTTGAAATATAAATCTTGTGTAATCATTAAACGTTCACAATAACATTCTGTATAATGGTCTGATTACGCCCAGTTGAAAAGTTTTATTCTTATAATATAAAACTTGAAACGAAAGAATGTCGTGTGTTGTCTGAGCTCTAAGTAAAATATTTGTTACAGTCTAAGTAAGTATTATTAATCAATAAATGAACGGATATTAATTAAAATAATTTCAATTTAAATTAAAAAATAGGACAATTTAATCGTTTATAACACTACATCTTGTGGCAGAGTAACCTATGCTCTTAGAAATAAATATAATATTATTTTTACAAGCTTTTTGTAATATAGTACCTAATGCTCATTGCCAAGTAGTATGCGATTAAGTACTTAGTTTTTATTGTAAAGTATAAAAATAAATACGATTTACACAAACACAAACTCATTATTTTCTAAAAAGTTTTCATACATTAATTTTCAACTCCAAGCTTTATAGATTAATATAATAGTAACATAAATTTAGTTCCCAAAGGACCAAAACAAATTGTGTTTGTAAACTGTACTTCAAAATCTCCAGTGTTTGCAGAAATGGGTTTATTTACTACAATTGTGTGGGTGTTTTATTTTGAAGTTCTAGTAAATAGGACGTAAATAATATTGTATTAGTGCCGCTATTCTCTATTCAATAATTTCCAAAGCAATTCTTGACTAATATTTATCCGCGACTTCGCCTACTAATTTATTGATATACTTAAAAACTAAATTAATTACTACGGGTACGGTATATGTATACTAAATTTATATAAATAAGTAAGCCGTTAAGCTGCCAAGAGATAAAAAAACTCACTATTTTAAAAACAGATCTACGAAATTAACAACATACAATTTATACCTAAAATTGAATAAGGGATACTATATCAAGTTAGGTGATACTATATACTACAATATACTGTGTTACCATACATGTGATGATTGCGGGATCAAACCCCACACAATACGAACAATTATAACATTGTATTGTAATTGCATTTACATACGTATGCAAAACTTCATCCCTACAGGACACCAGAAAAATGGCTTACTAATGAACCGTGCAAAATGACAATACACACACTTATTATAAAGCAATTTAAATAATTTGATGAGTAATTGTTTATTTAAATTTATTTAAGAACTATCATCTACCTAATATTAAAATATTAACCCTGTATAATTCATACAACGCCATCTAGTTCTAACCTGAGTAGAGTTTGTGTCATAGGAGCTAAACAACTGATAGAAATACTTCAATATAGTTTATTTCTAAATACATATTATACGAGTACATATAAAAGGCAACATATAAAACAAACTTGTGAGGAATCAAATCCGCGACTGTCGGAAGTAAGGCATTGCTAAACCGCTGTACCACCGAGCCCGTCATAGTATACATGATGCTTCATATTAATTATCTTGTCTCACTATATGTCTTTAATCTTTAATGAGCTAAACATTATTGGCAGATGGTGAACATGACGGGCTGACAGCACTGCTCGGGGCTGCCTCTCCGGATCTCGCGCTAGCGTCTGATGCTTCTGACAGCCTTTCAATGCCTGATCCTGATATTGGTTCGTAATAATTTACCTGTTAGAATTTAGTACTTTAATGTACAAGAATTTCACAGTTTAAATACATTAATAATTCTTCACATATCATACAGCATCTACTCACAAATTCAACTAAATTTTGCGTATTACATACATACTAAAAAAGTATCAGAAATATTGAATGTTTTTTTGGAAATATATTCACAAATGTAAAATATACTATGCAAAGATAGAACCCGCTACCATCGCAACTTGAGACAATGCTAAAACAACTTTATATACCCCTTGTATTTATATATCCCTTTGGTCCCTAATGAATCTTGATGGAGTCTGATTGATTTTGAATAAGTTTTTCAAAATGTATAAAAAATGTTTCAAATACTTTAGAAAAATTTACAAAAACAGTAAGTGATATTTTATTGTACGAGAGGAGTTGCTAATGAATGTAACCGTGGCACGTTTAATTTCTTATTAATTATAGCATTTACATTGTATGTATCTGTTGCGTATGGATAGATTCCTACTTTTAGCATAATGAAAAATAATAACCACAATTTCTTAGTATACTGTACCGGCCAAATGTACCATAAAATTAAATAAACGTAACATTCTATTGTCTTCTGAGCAAGATTTCAGGTTAGTCGAATATCGATGATTCGGTTGTCATGTTTCGCCTCCACATAATATAATAACAATATATGAGCATATACGTTAACCTAACATATATAAGATGTGTCGAATATCGTAGAAATCTGTAAGGTTATTAAATTATGCGTGATTAAATATCACTAAAATTATGTTACTAAGGATCATTATTTATATACATATAGTAACGTAATAAAGATAGATACCTAATTTTGGTATAAGGTAAGTGAAGTCCAGACCCACTGAATCGTTTTAAGACTTTTTTTGCAATACTCGAAAATTACTTAATTCGCGTATATTATATACGCGAATTAAGTAATTTTCAGTTAGTCTGTATACACAATACTCACAAGGTATATATATAAGTACCCGGGTGAAGCCGCGGCAGGCCACTAATAACAAATACTTAATTACAAAAATCGTATTCATAGTTTTTCATTACTATTTTCTTTATTATGTTTAATATCTGTGAATGTGAAATATGTTGTATGTTAGAGACACAGAGACATAGTCAGAAATTCAGTTATATTACGTCATCTATTAACTCAAAGTATTCTGCTTCAACGTATGTAAAGACCGAACCAAGTGTACATACTTGGACGGTATGTTCTCTTTGACTTATTTGGTTTGCGTACCTATACGAAATTAAACATACGAACTGAGAACGAGCTCGAACGCTGAATGTTTCTTTGACATTATACATAACTGAAATGAAATATAGTAATTTCGTTTCACATATACTTTTATTTGCTTTTAATATTTCTATAAAGTAACACACATCTAATAAATGTGCATTGGAATGTAAAGTAAAATAATATTAAGTACCTACTGACCGAATTACATAATAACAAGGTCTACGTAGACCCACGCAATGACATTTACTTGTTAATTTAGTATAATTTAATTATTTTCTCCAATAGTATACATATGAATTTACGCTATGTTTATCGGTTTCATATTTTGTTAAAAATATGACTGTTTACTTCTAGTTTATTATTAAATTATCATTATTAAAACTTGCATCTATCCCAATTATTGACAAACACTGATAAATGAACTACTAAATTATATATTATAGATTTGTCTCCTTGCCACTCAAATGTGTACGACGATTTCTTATATTTCTTTACTAAGGAAACTATTTACACTACTTTTTGCATATATTTTTTTATATTCAAGTTTAAGCTAAATCAATTTTGAGAGCATATTTCTTTAGAACATTTTGAGCCATCAGTTACCAGTAGCTAGCTGATTCAGTGATTAAGAAGAATTAGCAAGAACAGGATATTACAATTTGCATATTTCAATGTGCTTAAGTTGGTTTCAAAATATTAATGCGAATAGGTTATCCGTGTCAACTCACCCCACTCAAAGTTTAGAGATTGATGTATTTCGCGGAATGACATCTTCCCAAGTTCCCCGCTTTCTGAGATAAGGGTGAAACTTCACAGTTTTATGGCTGAGGAGACATGAAATATATAGAAATGTGTTACGTGAATCTTATGAAGTATGGCAAGCGCCGTGACATTGTTAGCGACACACGTTGAAGCGGTACATAACAACTTTTCGAAAATTTAAAACTCATTTCTAGTTGTTAATGGTTAATGTACAAATATTATTGCATACAGGAAATATTGTACATTAATACCAAATGGGGTAGACAGAGGTATTGTCGACTGTCGATGTTGTGGTGAATGCAAACATCCGACATGCCCGTATTTGTTTGGTGTATTATATTTTGAATCCAACGTGGAAGGTTGCAGCCTACCACCGTCTTTCGGATTATTTTGGTTCGATATCGGTATCTCCTTTATCGGAGAGATAATCTAAAATATAAATTGATACACAAAATTTCTTTTTAGTCTGTCGGATAAACTAACTATGTCTTTTTGGGCGTAATTTAGGATAAGTTTATTACGTCGTAGGCCAGCTAGTATTGTTCTAATCAATGATGTATATTAAACTTTATTCCAAACAAATTAAAATCATTTTACAATGTTGCCCATATTTTAACAACAACAGGAAAGGTGATTTATTTAAATAATATTACTGTGAACGGATTTCCCATTCTCTTTTCACGTTGTCTAGAAATTGAACTGATTTTAAATGATAGAAAAAGTATAATCACAAATTAGAACTCGTAATAGGAAAGTCAAGATTTAAATTTAATTGTTCATCTGAAGTTTTCAATTACAATATTGGACTTTGACATTTCCAGAGAATTTAATTTATTCTTGAAAACTTTTGCTTTACGCGTAGTAAATAATTATTATGGAATCTATACCTACTATAATTATACAGAGAAAAGTATTGTGACAGTTAGTCATAATACTTTTCTCTATATAATTAAATTATATCCATATTATTTAAAGTATATTGTTTTTTTACAAACAATTCCTATAAATAAGCGCAGTCCCGATATTTTACGTGAGGAGAAACGTTCAATGCCTGTCATCCGCCATATTTGTCACCTATATATCTCATGTCTTCGCGGAATTTATGTCCTAAAATGAAACATACATGTGAAACCCACACCGAGGTGTACAATCCGAAACTTTTCTAGTTATAAACGACGCCTATCAACAAGAACACGTTTTAAACATTACATTGTAAATCAATTTTAACCTACCAATTTTACATGCCTTTATTATTTTTCTTAATTAAAATATTGTTTAATACAGACTATTATCCGAAAATTAAAAATATAAATTCTATACATTAATCCTGGATTAGAATCATTTCGCGCTAAATCCTTTCCATAGTTTGAGCAATTAAATAGCAAATGTAGCCAGAATAAGAAAAAGTCAAAGTAAAGTATACTAATTTTAACAGGTGATTATGAATATATATGAAAATCTTTTATATATCACTATGTACAACAATTACCTTTTTGATTTTTTACTGTCTCTTAACGCTTTGAAAGCATTGAAATTAAATTGTAATTGTCAAGTAAGTGTACAAAGATGTAAAAAATATATTTTAAGTAGGTAAGATGAATAAAAAATCGATCACGTCATTTTCACACAAAAAACACATCAAAGTAGGTGCATTCGTTTAGAAGGTACGATGGCACAAACGTCATATATATATTAATATATATCTATTAGTAACTACATTAAATACCTCCAATACAAACACGATCAATTTTTATAACATAAAAAATTACACACTTACCCAGTTATAGGTACTATGAAGAAGAATGATAAAAAATACAACTTATTGTCAGTACGAAACAGTCTAGTATCTTGGAACCACAGTAAAAAAATTACTTACTTTATAATTATCAGATTTAACATTTATCTGAAAATAATATAACATCCTAAACAAAGAGGTTTTTAGCTTCGCTAACGTAATTAACAAAGTTACACGGTTTTATGCTTTAAATTATAAAGGAGGTTTCAATAAATGGAATTTTTAATTTTACCCAAGTTTATTTTTCTAAGCGTTATACAAGTTTACTCTATAGCGCTTTTCCGGTTCTGTTTACAGTCCGATTTTGATATTTTATGTAATAAAATTGATATAAACAGCGCTACGGACGTTATCATGTAATGCTCGTGATACGGCATACAAATGTAAGGAAAACCAGGGCAATAATATTTCTGCATGCGGCTTATTCTGTAATTTTACTGCCTAATTCACCCTGCAATCGAAACATAACACACATAGAACACATTTACCTGAAAATTCTTGGACAGCGCCAGAGAATAAAAAAGTCTCTTGTAGACAACCTGACAAACCTTTAAAATAATATATAATTTCTAAAATAATATCTTTTTAATGTCATTTTCAAAGTTACACGATCTAATATTCAGCGAACAATATATCTTGAACTTTCGGTATAACTGCAGACATATGTATGCCACATATAGAGACAATTTAAAAAGAAATGCTTGTTCAAAGCCTGTCAGAACACAATTTGTTATATCCCGATACTCACCTGGGAGCGTTCTGGTCAGACGTTATTTCTTATTGGCCGATGTAACTGACCGTTAAGACGGAAGACAAACGATACCGCAACTCGTGCACTTACTAACAAACAACCTATAATCCTTCGACATCTGAACCACCTAGTATTGAAAGCATTCAATTTCACAGTAACTATATATGTGTCTACGTAGGTGTGTTAGATAGGATATATATTTGCATGCTCGGTCGTCTCGGATAAATTTACGTTAGAATGTAACTGAAGAATAAAAACTGTATTCGAAACAGCTTAAATTAAATTTATTTATACAAATTTTATTTCTATATCACATAGTTGCTATGAGTATATACTACAAAAGAAAAATTAAAACTTTTAAAACAAGATACTTATCTTGTAGAAATTATGGCAATAAATTGGAAGTGATTGGGTTTATCTTTTGACTTTAAAA